AGCTGCAGCAGGCTGCGTGGCACCCTAGCTAGCTAGCTAGCCAGCTAGCTAGCTAGCCAGCTAGCTAGCTAGCTAGCTAGCTGGCTAGCTGTGGGTTTCTGTTTACCTCGAGTTTGACGATCTCCTGCTGCGTGAGGTGCGTCCAGCCTGCCCGCGCAATACAAACAGCGGAGAGTCCCCCTGACCCCAGCTAGCCACCAGCTAGCCACCAGCTAGCCACAAGCAACGAACAGCTAGCTAGCTAGCTAGGGGACACAGCCAGCTACCAGCAGCTAGCCACCACAGCACCCAGCAGGCCCCCACAGGCCTTCCCGTCAGCAGCGGGCTACATCAGCTGCAGCAGCAGCTAGCCACAGTATCTAGCAGCAGCAGCTATCTGTTCAGCAGCAGCTAGCCGCAGCTAGCTAGCTGCAGCTAGCTAGCTGCAGCTAGCTAGCTGCAGCTAGCTAGCTGCAGCTAGCTGCTGGTGCGTGTGTGTGTGTGTGTCACCTTCAGGGAAGAAAGCTGCATAGGCGGGGACACCCTCTGGCGGTGTCATGCGGTAGTCGTAGAGAGACACACGCACAGCCAGAGGCGGCGGCAGCTGCTTCAGCACCTCCTTAGCACCCACACACACACACACACACATACAAGCATACTCATAGCTAGCTAGCTAGCTNCGGAGCTCCAAATACCCCAACGACTGCAATTCAATGTGGGGGGCAGCTTTAGCTAGCTAGCTAGCTAGCTAGCTAGCTAGCTAGCTAGCTAGCTAGCTGGCTGGCTAGCTGGGTAGCTGTGGGTGTAAGGGGTACAACGCACCCCCTGTGCCCCCAGGAGCTGCAGCAGCGCGGGCTGTCTGCTGCTGAGCTGATGAATGAAGGGCCGCCAGAAGGTGGGGTAGAGGTGCAGGGGGTCGTCAGTGTCTCCAGCTGAGGCATGTAGAGAGAGCTGTTGCACCTGCTGCTGCTGCTGCTGCTGCTGCTGCTGCAGCAGCAGCTGCTGCTGCTGCTGCTGCTGCTGCAGCGGCAGCCCCGCAACAGCACCCTTCAGAGCCGACTTGAGCCGCAAAGGGATAAACCAGAGACGCCAATCCAAACGCGGGAAGTGACCCCATAACAACCAAGGCGGGGGCGTGTTCACGTCGCCTACACAGCAGCAGCAGCAGCAGCAGAAGTAGCAGCAGCAGCAGTAGCAGCAGCAGAAGCAGCAGCAGCAGCAGCAGTAGCAGCAGAAGTAACAGCAGCAGTAGAGTAGCAGCAACAGAAGTAGCAGCAGCAGCAGCAGCAGCAGCAGCAGCAGCAGCAGAGGCAGAAGCAGAAGGAATAACAATGAGCAAAGAAGTAGCAGCAGAAACAGCAGCAGAAACAGCAGCAGAAACAGCAGCAGCAGCAACGGGGTGATGTGTTGTTGAGGGGATTATATAAGGAGACAACAAAACCCATAGAGGAGACAAAAAAGGAAAAATAGAACAGCAACAGAAAAAGGAGACAGAACAGCAGCAGCAGCAGCAAGCTGAGGAGACACCCCACACGCTGCTACGAGGAGACAGCTGCGACAAGACAGGCAGCTGCGAGGAGACAGACAGCTCAGAGGAGACAGACAGCTGCGAGGAGACAGCTGCGAGGAGACAGCTGCGAGGAGACAGACAGCTGAGAGGAGACAGACAGCTGCGAGGAGACAGACAGCTGAGAGGAGACAGCTGAGAGGAGACAGACAGCTGAGAGGAGACAGACAGCTGCGAGGAGACAGCTGAGGAGGCAGCTGCGAGGAGACAGACAGCTGCGAGGAGACAGTTGGTGTGTGTGATGTACCTGGTTTATAAGGAAGAGATATTTCTCTCCACTGCGGCCGCTGCTCTGCTGTCTGCTGCAGCTCCTCTAACACAAGCTCCAAACGCCCAGTCGTAACCACAGAAAACAAACCTGCAGCAGCAGCAGCAGCAGCAGCAGCAACAGCAGCAGCAGCAGCAGCAACAGCAGCAGCAACAGCAGCAGCAGCAGCAGCAGCAACAACAGCAGCAGCAGCGGCAGCAGCAGCAGAAAGAAAAGAGAAGAAATGATGCTGCTCGTTCCACATCTGGCAACCGCATGGTGTAGCTATTGCTGCTGCTGCTGCTGCTGCTGCTGCTGCATCTGCTACAGTTGCAGCAGCAGCAGCAGCTGCTGATGCTGCTGCAGCTCGTGCTGCTGCTGCAGCTCACCATAGCCATTGCAGACGCAGGGGAGAGACAGCTCACGACACAGCGCCAACACCCACCCAGGGGCAGACACACTCGGCCGCATCCAAACCCTGAACACAGCAGCAGCAGCAGCAGCAGCAGCAGCAGCAACAGCAGCACGTGCAGCAGCAGCAACTGCAACAGCAGCAAGACCAGTTTCAGCACCAGATGCAGCAGCAAAAGTTGCAGCAGCAACAGTAGCAGCAGCAGGTGCAGCCGATGCAGTTGCAGCAGCAGCAGATGCAGCAGATGCAGCAGTTGCAGCAGCAGCAGCAGCAGCAGCAGCAGACGCGGGGGCAGGAGAGGAGAAAAGGCAAAAGCCTCACTTGCATAGATAGTTGAGACACCCCGCAGTGTAAATCTACAAACAAACACAGCAGCAAACATTCACTCCAGCTGCTGCAGTGGTGA